CACATACCGCCATACTCATACATACCCCATACCCAACACATACCCAATATACCTCATACATACACCCATACCCACAACTACCCATAAACCTCCCACATAGCCCATACCCACATACGCCCATAATACACCCAATACCGCACAACATCATACATACCCCATACCCCACTTCACATACCTTCATCATACCACAGCACACCCACCCACGCGCCCACTCACCTTATACCGCTCCATGTCCTCCATGGGCGGGACGAGAACGGTGGTGGAGAGCCAGTGCCGCCCCTTGTGCCCGCTCTGTCGCCAAACCGCCCACGGTTGCACGCCCATGCTGGGGTTGTCCGCCTGTACCACTCCACGCTTTTGGGCATGGGCGGGGGGTGGGGGGGTTGGGGGAGAAGAAGAAGAGGTTAGAGACGTGATGATAAGTATGCGTAGGAAATATAAGACGAAAGAGAGAGAGAGAGAGAGAGAGAGAAGAGAGAGAGAGAGAGAGAGAGAGAGAAGAGAGAGAGAGCAGAGAGACGAGAGAGAGAGAGAGAGAGAGAGAGAGAGAGAGGAGAGACGAGAGAGAGAAATGAGAGAGATAGAAATAACGATAGATAGATTAGATAGATAGGAGAGAGAACAGAGAGAAAGAGAGAAAGAGAGATAGAGAGCAAAGAGAAAGGAGTGAGAATGAGAGAGAGAGGAATGAGAATAAGAGAGAGAGAGAGGAGAGAGAGAGAAGAGAGAGAAGAGAGAGAGAGAGAAGAGAGAGAGAGAGAGAGAGAGAGAGAGAGAGAGAGAGAGAGAGAGAGAGAGAGAGGAGGAGGATGCAGAAGGTTAAAGGAGATGAGAGAATTGTAATAATGGCAAAGAAAAATCACGAGGATATTGAGTTAGGGTTACTGAAAGGGGAAGATGGAAGAAGGGATTGAAACGAGGAATGGAAGGAAGGAGAAGAAAGGGAAGAGGGAAAGAGGGAGAGGGAGGAGATAGGGTAAGAGGGGAGGAAAGGGGAGGAAAGGAGGAAGGGAGGAAGCAGAAGAAGGGAAGAGAGACAGGAGGGGAGGAAAGGAGGAATGGAGAGGGAAAGGAAAAGGGGGAAATAGAGGAGGGAAAGGAAAGGAGTGGAGGAAGGGAGGAAAAGGAAGAAGGGAGGAGAAGAAGGGAAGAAGGGGAGGAGGAGGAATGAGGAAAAGAAGGAAAGAAGATGGAAGGAGGGAAGGAGGGGGGAGGAATGTAGGAGGGAAGAGGAGGAAAGAGAAGAGGAGGGATTGGAGGACGCATAATCGGAAAAACTGATTGGGAATAATAATGAGAAAAATTGGAAGCGAAGAAGGGGAGGGGGAAATCTGAAAAGAAAATAAGTAGGGGAATAGTAGAGAAATTGGAAATAATAAAGTTCAAAATAAAAATTGAAACACGGAACGGGAGAAAAAAAGGGGGGTTGGTTGGCGATAGGGGATTAGGGGGGAAGGGAGGGAGTGGACAGATGGAGAGGAGGGGAAAAAATAGAGATATTTCAGAGTAAAATTGATGACAGGTTATTTGAGATTTTTCCTTTGCTTTTTTTTTTTTTTTTTTGTTTTTTTTTTTTTTTTTTTTTCTTTTTTTTTTTTTTTTTTTTTTTTTTTTTTTTTTTTTTTTTTTTTTTTTTTTTTTTTTTTTTTTTTCTTTTTTTTGTTTTTTTTTTATTCTGAAGAAAATTGAGTGGAAATAATAAAAGTAATAACAGTAATACAAGATATATTAACAAGATAGGTAGGATGCACGCGTAGAGACAATATTAAAACAAGATAGCGATAGGATAAAAGACAGATAGACAGATGTATATAGATAAATATAGACAGATAGATAGAAGAGATCAAATAGAGATATATATATACAAAAACAGAGAGAGAGAGAGAGAGAGAGAGGAGAGAAGAGGAGAGAGAGAGAGAGAGAGAGAGAGAGAGAGAGAGAGAGAGAGAGAGAGAGAGAGAGGAGAGAAGAGAGAGAGAGAGGAAATAAAGGAGATAAGGAGGCACATTAGAGAGAGGAAGGGCTGAGAGAGAGAGAGGAGGGAGAGAGAGAGAAGAAAGAGAGAGGAGGAGAGGAGGAGAGGAGAGAGAGAGAGGAGGAGAGAGAGAGAAGAGAGAGAGAGAGAGGGAAAAGAGAGAGAGAGAGAGAGAAGAGAGAGAGAGAGAGAGAGAGAGAGAGAGAGAGAGAGAAAGGAGAGAGAGGAGAGAGAGGAGACGGAGAAGAGAGAGAGAGGAGAGAGAGAGAGAGAGAGAGAAAGAGAATTAGAAAAGAGAAAGAGGGAAAAAGAAGGAGGGAAGAAGAAAGAAGAAAGAGAAAAGAGAAAGAGAAAGAGAGAGAAAGAGAAGAGAAAGAGAAGAAAGAGAATAGAAAGACAGAGAAAACAAGAAAATGAGAAAAAAAAGAAAAAGAAAGAAGAAAGAGAGGATAGAGAGAGAAAACACAAAACGGAAAAAAAAAAAAAAAAAAAAAGGGACGCGCTAGGGAAAGTTTTGAAAATGAG